TCCCTCCCCGAGCTTCCCTCCCTGAACTCTTTTGTCAGCTCTTCTTTTGCTTGCAAAAGAAACTTTCTGTGTGCCACGTTTCTGTCGTTGGCTCTCTGCTCCTCCTCTTTTCTTCCCCTCCCTGTTACAGACAGGTTCTACCTATGTAATCCAGGCTGGGCCCAAACTCACAGTCTCCTCCCTCAGCCTCTTCAGTGCTGGAATTACAGGCCTGAGGCACCACACCTGGCTGCATACTTTATCTTAACCTAGGGTCTCTGGTGGGGTTCACATGGAGCTTCTTAGATTACAGGTGAAACCGTGTGTACATTTGCAGGTTTTCATGGGGGAGGGACTAAATAAAGCTTCAACCATGTATCTCCTAAATCCTGTCTTCTGTCCCACTTGTCTCCTGAGTGCCAACTGCCTACTTTGCCTACTTCTTTTTTAACATCTTTGCCTGAGATCTCAACAACTATTTCACAGTGAACAACATCAAAAGCTGAGAACACTCTCTCCTGCTCCTGAAGTCGGTTCCTCTTCCTATGTTTCCTATGTGCATGAAAGGAGCTAGATCCAAACGAAAGTTGAGCCTCATTCAGACCCTCCTTTCCCATCACCTCTTGTGGCCAATCACTCATCCAAGTCTAGTCAATTTCACTTTCTTAGCATCTCTTTAAACAGGACCTCCTACCTCTAGACTAGATTGCTAAAATAACCTCCTAACTCCTCCTTCAGCCTCCCACCTCTCTTCCCTCTAATTCAGTTCTCTGACTGCTATCAAAGTAACTTTTATGAAACATAAAAATGATCATGTCACTCGCAGCCTAGAATATTTGCAGTTCCCTGGAGTTTTCCTACACTGACATACAGACCCCTTTGTGATCACCTGATCAGTACCAAGTGCCTAGCACATGGCAGGCCGTGGGCTAATTACTAGAAATATAGTAATAAGATGAAGGAAAGAGAAAGTGGAAAGGAGGAAAAAAAGTGAGCATAAAGGAAACACTTCAGTATAAGATAGCCTAAGACCATCGGGCCCTCTGTAAAAATTTTGTAATTTACCTATACTGTAAAATTAACTCACAGCAACTCAATAGCTCTCAATTTGGGACTGCTCAACAAGCACTTCATGCAAATCCTTGGTTTCAAAGTTGCTGTGGTCCCTTTCTCTCCTCCTATGCTCTTACCTTCCTCTCTAGCTGGTCCCCTCTGCAGCTAACAATTCCTCTCTTGAGAGCCACCAACAGATGATGGGTCAGAAAAGCAAATGAAACCTCCAAGAAGGAAGACTAACATGAACACTTCAAAACCACAAGTTACAGGGCAGAAATTCACAGGGAAATTGGAGACAGTGTCCACCGTTCCCGTCAGAGACCGTCCACAGTGGGTGTCTCTTCTCTTTCAGGTTCTATGAGAAGCATCTAAAGTGCAAACAGCTGAATTCCCCCCAAAAAGTCTGGATTTTGCTGGATGTCAGTGAATCATTTGCGACCAAGCACTAGCATGACAGCCTTGTTCATTTCCATGTGCACCCTCATAGGACATCTGATCCCCGACCTTTGGTAAGAGGCTGCTGCAGGAATACCTGTGAGACTGGATGGATGAGTTGGGGAGAGACAGTCAGCATCACCTAAGAGCAAAACAAAGCACAACCAATAAAACCTGCACAGGGATTGTTGTAAGGTCCTAGAGTGGGAAATGTGTCAGCCCAAAGTAAGGGTCAGCAGGCCCTGTGCCAGCCCCACGTCCACTCTATCCCTGCTAAGCCTCACTTGTCCACACCTGTCTGCTGCTCACCCAAGCCAGCCTACACTTGCATAGGTGTCTAGGAACCTGCTAGAGAGAAGCACTACCAGCAGAGCCATTTCATTTTGTCTGGGACCTGGACTAATGCAATAGCAAACAAAGTGGGATTGGAGCAGGGTGGGTGTGCGGATGCAGTGTGATGGAAAGTACAGTGAATGTCTAGATCTTTTTAAATGACAGTAAAAGACACATTGCTCTTACTCTCCTTCAAAATACTCCCCTCACTTCAAGCACACTTATCCCATTGCTCCTGCCACTTTCTGAAGCAGTTCTGGGACTAGAAGTGTAGCTTGGTGACAAAGCATTTGCCTAAAGCAGTTCTGGAAGTCCTCTTTTGTGAGGGTCTTTGGCTGTGCAGTCCTGACTGCCTCATTGTCCTGAATCATTTCAAAAAGTTTACCTTTCATGGTCATCTTTACTTTGAAAAAGAACCACAAGTCACACAGTGCCAGCTCCAGTCAATAAGGTGGATGAGGACAGATCTTAATGGTTTTACAAGCCTGCCTTTCCTTAGAAGGCACTAAGCAGTAGAATTCACCACTTTTTTTTTTATCATACCTCATAAAGAGGTATGTTCTAGAACTACTTCAGAGGGTACCAAGAATAATGGGACGTGTTTAGAGTTAGGGGGTACACTTTGAAGGGGGATGAATGGCAATGTGTCATTTATGCCAGTAATTTTTTAAAATTTAAAATATATTTTAGTCACACTATGTATGTGTTGGGGGCCCCCGGAAAGAGAAGAAAAGGTTAACAATCTTACCACTTCCTGGCCACCTCCCTCCACTTTTGCTGGTAAGGAGCCCTGGGATCAGACCACTTGACCCACAGACCGCCTTGGCCTGGATCCCTGGGGGGCCAGAAATTTTGTGAGCTACTGGTAACACTGGGGCAAAGGTTCCTGGGTCTGGGTGGACTCAGGAGACAAGGACAGGCATCCTGAGATGGCCAAGGGAGGACAGTGATAGCTTCTGTGTGTGTCCCCTGCACGGTCAGTGGGGACGCGTGAGGAGCGGCTGGGACAGGTGAGGGTCAGAACCACCTTGCTTCTCCTCCAGGCTCTTCCCCGCCTGCTCCTCTCCTATCATGGGGCTCATGTGTCAGAGTTGCATTCAGAAATCAGATGATGTTCCAGGAAAAGGAACCCAGTGAATGAGGGACCGGGGTTGGGGGAAAGGCTATTTACTTCCTCTCTTCTAGTCCTCTAGTTCCCCTCTGGGCTCCTGGTATCTGTGGTGACTTGTCGCTCCAGTGCAGCAGTATGTGGCATCTGCTGCCACCATCGGCTCTGCTACTGCTAGGTAAGTGTGGGGCACTCTGTCTAAGGGAGCAGCTAAGAAGCCCTGGGTTTGGCAGAAACCCCTTTTGGGGCCAGGGATGGGACAAACTGTCTGAGGGCTACAGAGGAGCAGAGTTCTGGTCTGATTAATGCATCACTGGAGTGAAGAGGGATTCAGAGAGCAGTTGTCATCTCTCTGGGTCTCAATTTCCTATGCATCAATTGAAAAGCACAAATTAGATGTTCCCTAAGGTCTGTTCTTCCAGTTCAAGTCAGTTTTAGACTTAATTTCTACTCTTACCAGGCGTCTTCGGTTAAGGTTGGTCCTGTGACTTGATTTGAGGAAATTTCATCTTTCTCCTTCATTCCTGAGTTTGAACAAGGAGCAAGGAGTAAGGGAAGAGTGTAAAAAATGGGATTTGGGTGGCCATGTGGCAGGAGACACAATCACTGGAGACCAGAAGGCAAGCAACAGGAAAGGCAACCATTCTAAATATCTTAATTCTTGGGAATCCTGGGCTGCCAGGGCATTCGCCCTGACTCCTCACTCTGCCCAATATTTGATTCATGCTTTTTTTTCTTGCAGTTTCATCGGTCACACAAGCTGGTGAGTTTGCTTCATAGTCTTGGATTGATCAAATGGGGCACACATGGGGAGGGGGAAATGACCATCGCTCGGAATGACTCCACCAGGGTGGGGTGGGAAGGAGTGATTCCCCCAACAGTGGAGCTTGCTTCTGTGCTTCTCTGGTTAGTTTTTCTCAAACTATGGGGTGGGCCAAAACTGGAGCCAAGTGCCGCCCAGCCAAGATACCCTCAGACTGAGTCACAGCCTGAGTCACCCACTGTGGGTATGCAGTGGACTTGTTCCGGCTCTGCATTGCCCTGGGAATGCCAGGGTGCAGCCTACTCATTTGTTGCTCCTAATTCTCCGTTTTCTTGGTTCCTCAGCAAATCACTCGAAGGCTGTGGTGTTCCTAGACCCTCCGTGGGTCAGGATGCTTGAGGATGACAACGTGACTCTGACGTGCCAGGGAGACTACCCACCTGAGGACAATTCTACACACTGGTACCACAACGGAACACGCATCTCTAGCCAGGCCTCCAGCTACTTCATTAGAGCTGTCAGAATTAAGGACAGTGGAGAGTACCAATGCCAAACAGGCCTCTCCACACGCAGTGACACGGTGCAGCTACAAGTCCATGCTGGTGAGATACGAAATACTGCTGTGAGGGTCTTTCAGTAACTCTACAACTACCTGTTCCTCCTGAAAGTTACCTTTTCTCTCATGAGGCAAATCATCAGTTTCAAATGCAATTTCCCCCCTGTGGTCTAAAATTTACTGTGATTCCTTATTACCTACCAAGATGAATCCAAGTCTAAAGATCCTGTAGATATCCACAGCCTTGCTTCTCACTTTCCTAACCCTTCTGCTCTGACATTATGTTCTGATTGTATGTGTGGTGGGGGGCTTCACTAGACAAAAGGTCTGTGTGACCCAAGCTCTATTGCAGGGTTCAGTCAGCTTTTTCCCAAAGAGAGAGAGCTTCGTAGGGATGTCCCCTGTCTGGCTTTGCATCATGTCCTGGGATCTGGTTGACAAGTACCCCTTTTACAAGAGCCCTGTCTGAGCGGAGCATCACCTGCACTAACGTGGTAGTACACGCTTGCAGTCCCAGCACTCTGGGAGGCTGAGACAGGAGTATCAAAATTTTGAGCCCAAGGGGCTAGGGATTTAGCTCAGTGGTACAGCACCTGCCTGGCAAGCACAAGGTTGTGAGTTCAATTCCTGGTACCAGAAAAAAAAACATTTTTTTTTTTTGAGCCCAGCCTGGGCAAGTTTGTAATTTAGTGAGAACTTCTTTTTAAATAAAAAAAGAGCTGGGGGTATAGCTCAGTGCAAAAGCCCCCCTGGTTCATTTTCCAGTGTTGGAAAAACCTAAGAGCCCTGTGCTGAAAGCAGAAGCCAAAGCCTGGGTTCTCTCTGTGTCTTTCAGACTGGCTGGTGCTCCAGACCACCAAGTGGGTGTTCCAGGAGGGGGAGCTCATTCGGCTGAGATGTCACACCTGGAAAAACAAGCCTCTCTACAAAGTCACCTACGTACAGAATGGCAGACCCCAGAGGTTCTTTCATCGCAATTTGGAATTCCACATCCCAGAAGCTACGCTCAATCACAGTGGCTCCTACTACTGCAGGGGGTTGCTTGGATACAACAACATGTCTTCAAGGACTGTGGATATCATCGTCGGAGGTGAGAGCAGTGCAGTCCTGGGTGAGGGAGATGACCTGGCGGGATTCCTGACTCCACAGACTTCTGTTATAGGGTTCCCTCCTGGTGAGTCAGAGAGACCCTGAAAGGCCCTGACTGCTGGATAAGCCTGCAGTTCTGTGGCAGCCTGTTCTTAAGGGGTAGCTGAGAGGAGTCATTCACTCAGCAGTGTGACCAGAAGGGTAGAAGCCAAATTTGCTCCTCTACTGATGGTGCTTAGCTGGGTGTGGTGGGGCAACCCTGTAACCCCAGCACTCAGGAGGTTGAGGCAAGAGGATTGCTGCAAGTTGAGTACCAGGCCAACCTGGGCTACATAATGAGCTCAAGGCCAGCCTGAATTGTGTGATTGTTTGGTTGGTTTTTGTTTTTGTTTTTGTTTTCCCGGTACTGGGAATCAAACTCAGGACTTCATGCTTGCCAGGAAGGCGCTGTGCCACTAAGCTAAATCCCCAGCCCCTGGTTTTTGGTTTTTTTGAGATAGGGTCTTGCTATATAGTTTACCACACCCCCTCGCCAGCCTGAACTATGTAACAAGACCCTGTCTCAGAAAAAAAAAAAAAAAAAAAAAAAAACAAGTACACAAAAACAAACAAAACAACCCGGCTTTACCCTGATACTTGCATGATAGCGCACACCTGTCATGCTGGCCCATCTGTACCTACTCTCCTTTCCCACATAAGCCTCATTTTGTAGCCAAAGCCAGACTAACAGAATCCCCTCAATGCCTCATATAAAGGGCATGGCACCTGAATTCTGTCTTCATGGTTAATTTGCTATGTGACCATTCCTGAGCCATGTAGTATCTCTCGGCACCTCAACTTCTTCTTCATTACAAAGACAAACTGGTTCCCTTGGATGTGCTGATTTTTTATATGTACCTAATTTGATGATCATATGGCCCTTCACCACATTATGTGATAGGTAATGCTAAGCTCATTTCACAGTTGATGTAACTGAGATATAATAGATAATTAAACAACCACTGTTCTTAAGGTTACACCAAAGACTTCAAAGCCTGAATATGTAACCACTAGGAAAAATGAAATGAAAATTGGACTGACACCCATATTCCAGACAGAATTTGGGATCCTATAATGTGACCCAGAAAACTTCTCTAGTTCCTTTTTTTTTTCTTTTCTTTTTTTAGTTTTTTGAGACAGAGTCTCACTATAGTATTCAGGCTGGCCTTGGACTCACTGCCATCCTCCTGCCTCAGCCTCCTGTGTGTTGGGATTAAAGACATGCGCTACCATGCTGGGCTTTTTCAAATATTTTTCAGCTGCAGTTGGTTGAGTGCTCAGATGCCTTCAGAATCCATGGATTGAGAAAGATTTTTGTACTCTCAAATGATTAGAAAAGGGCCTGAATGAAGAGGCAAGTGGGGCAAAGCAAATAATCAGCGAATCTGGGTAAAGGATATGAAAGTCCTGTATGTCACTGCGGCCAATTTAAATTGGAAATTACATCAGAATTGAGAGTTAAGCCAGGCGTGGTGGCACATGCCTGTCATCCAGCACTCAGGAGGCTGAAGAATTGCCAGGAGTTCAAGGCCAACCTGGGGATTTATAGAGAAACATTGTCTCTCAAAAAAAAAAAAAAAAGGTAAAAAATGATACTGAATTCCACAAGTTTGTGCCAGTTCATAGACAAGAACATTGTCCAATATTTACACGGCTGTCACCCAACACTCGGCAACAGCCTCACTTGCCGAACACTCCCGTCACAACCCCACCCAGCAAGCAGAAGCCGTGTCTGAGTGATGAGTGGAGCTTGCTCAGGGAGCACTAGGATCAGGAATCGGTGGGAGGGAACAAAAGCATCCCCAGGGCCCCCTGCTGTTCATTCCTGAGAACTCGTACCTTGGCAGGAGTCAGGAACACCACCCCCTGGTAACCTCACAGTTCATTACCAATTTCTGCCTCAATGACTGCCATTTTTTCATCTCTACTTTCTTATCTCTCCCTGTTAGATCCAACATTTCCATCCATCGATCCACCCTTTGCATCTTGGCACCAAATCACTCTCTGCCTGGTGATGGGACTGCTGTTTGCCTTGGACACGGGGCTGTATATTTCTATTCAGAGAGACTTCCAAAGATCAATGGTAGACAAAGAAGAGCACAATTTTAAATGGAACCGGAACCAGGACAAATGATCCCTTAGCTCCCAGGGCAATAAAAGCAGCGGCACTATGTTTGGAAACCTCTCTGTGGATCTGCAACCTCCCTATCCCCATCAGGCATTCCCTTAACAGCAGGAAAAACACAACTCAGAGCCTGGGCTCTGGTTTGTTTTTTTTTTTTTTTTTTTTTTTGGTTTCTGATGGGAAGAAAAGACCTATGATCTTCAGGGACCCACAGTGACACCCCAGGAGTAGCTATGAGCTCAGGAAGTCTCAGAGCTATATGTTTTCTCTACCCCAAGCACAGTCTCCCAGAACAGTAACACACAGGCTCTGGACAATAACTCTTGAAATGTATAAAAAGTCTAATAAACAAAAAGTTAAGCAGATAGGGGAGTTAATGAATAAGACAGAAACATCAGTGGTCTGCATCCAGTGGTCTGCATCTGTTGCTGCAGGGCTGGTTGCCTCCAGGGAACCCCCAAACTCCTTTCAGACAGTGTGGGAACCGCTAGGGATCGGGCAATTAGCAGAACTCAGGAGGAAAGATGGCTGAGAAAGAGCAGGGGAGTCCAGGACAGACAGGGAGCCCTCTTTGGCCCAGAGATAAGACTGCTTTCTCCAGCAAGAGGCACGGCAGAGTGAACTAGAAATCACACAAGTAACGTGGATTGGAGTTTTCCTAGGTTGGATGGGGGTGTGTGTCTCTAACGGAATTGGAATGGCCTGTGAGTATATCGTGATGAATCCTCCTCCTAATGCGCTGAACAGAAAATCGGCCTAGGAAGGTGGGTAGGGACTAACGGAATGGATTCAGAAAAGTACAGAGAAACCCACATGTTGTGCTGACAGAGGTATCGCAGCACCTAACCTGAGAAAATATCAAGAAAGCGACAACCACAAGTTCGCAGGAAGCAGTGGGCAGGAGGGTAGGAGGTTTTTGTTGACCCAGGTGTTAAGAATTAGAAAGAGGAGGAGCTGGAACTCTAAAACCCACTTTTCTGTTTCCGTATCTAATTTAGGTAAAACTTTACTCGCGTCATTCATTAAAAAGACATTGGATAACCAACGCTAAATGACCTTAGCTCCCTGAGTTAAATGGTGAAGCACTGAAATCCCTCAGCCTACCAGCACCAGTGGGGAGTGGGTGGAGATGACAGTGGCTGCTTGCAGAAAGAAGCTTTAGCTATCTTTATGCTTCAGCTCCCTTTAACAGCATTTCTTGCTTTTAATAAAGTGTTCTACAAGGTCTTGCGTGCTACTTTAAGAAGATGGTAAAAACATGGCAATAAAACATGATTTTTTTAAAATCTTTTTTTCCCTCCTTTTATCAAAACTCTATCAGAGATTGGTTTGGATTAATGAGAAAGCCCTCTCTTCTCTGCAACAGCATCGCCAGAATTCAATAGATTAGGCAGCTTGCTTTCCATGTCTCGCGGGCACAAAGCAGTGTACGGTGAGTTTTAGGGGCAGTACAGCATTGCAGGGCGAGGGTGAACAGAAATTAGAGGTATTTAGTGCATTGGGGCTGTCAGCCACAGGAGGTAGCGTGACTCAGGTCCCAGATTTTGGGTGTGGAGCCCACTCCTGAGTCAGGAAATACAAAGGCAAGGCCGGTACAAGTTCAGTGGGAAAAAATAATTCACCTCTGGATTTTTAGCACTGTAGATACTCCCTTTGATGAGCAAAGGCTGAGAAAGGGTCGATTTGATGGTGCGATTTCAAGGGTTGGTTAATAACAACTAAATTTTTGACCACATGCAAGTTTAGAACTGCTGAAGGCTGAGCAAATTCTTAGACTTTGGAACAGCTGTGGGCTGAGCAAATTGTGAGAATCGCACAGTTCAGCGGTGCGCTGCAGACTCGCGGACCGAAGGGTGCTTTTGAGTTCACACGATTTAGAGGTCAAGGTTTATAAAATGCTCTGCTGCGTCTCTGGGTGGGCTCGAACCACCAACCTTTCGGTTAACAGCCGAACGCGCTAACCGATTGCGCCACAGAGACAGCCGGTGGAAAGGCCGCTGCCAAGTTAGTTCACTGAGAAACAAATTCACTGTGCCCTGGGCGTCCGGGAATTTGTGCTCGCAGCTGCCCTCGGAGGCTACCATCGCCTTTCCGAACACCAGGGTACGATCGCGACGGATCAAGCCCCCCTCACCACACTAGCTGGATCTGAGACTATCGTCTAAGCTTCTGACCCCCAGAGGCTGAGAAAAGGGGAGCAGCAGAGGATGAATGAGCGAAAGCGTTCTTTGGAGAATCCAAAATAGATGCCCTCTGAGGGGTTGGGAGTTCAGTTGGTTTTGCTCAAAAAACTACCCCAAATAAGATTTTTTTTTTTTTTTTCTGAGCTGGACGATTTCTGTATGTATATGTGCATGCGTATTGACTCTTAATAAGCCTATTGTGAAAATTACAAATATTGTCTCCAATCATACACAGCAAAATCTAATCTAATCTAAGAACCCTTCGTACAACAAAATTAATCTTCAACTCCACCTGTTTGAAAGACACCCAGACAGATAGCACATGGAATATATAAATGTCTTTAACTTACACACCCTTCGCAGTGACATATACAGACCCAAGTATCTCAGGGCAGAGACCCTTAGCCTACCACCATCAACCTAGGGGTGCTCAGGACAGAGTCTCCTGGGCCATTTTCTGTACTGCCCAGGTCCCAGACACCGCGGAGCCTCCACACAGAACCGACTTCCTTTCTGCACTACTGTACTTGGTTCAGTGAGTTTTGTTTAGGTCCAGGTCAAAGTTTCCTAAGATTTCAGTGAAATTCAAAACATAAATATGAGGGCGAAGAAAATAAACGCATATTATATTTTATATTAAACTCCTGCACAAATTTGTATTATATATACACATATATTTTCCAAATAACCTTTTACATTTAAAAAATGATTAGTATGTATTCTCTCTACACTTGATAAGTCAAACAAAAAATATTTTTTCAGAAAAATATTATTAAGCATATGGATACAGCACGAGCAAAGTTGATTTAATAGACAAAATAGAGGCTGGGAGTTCATGGGAACAGAGGGAAGGTTTGGGGTTAAACAACCCTGAGATGCAGGTGCCACTTCTTTCTGTCTGTTGAATTTCACCTTTATTTTATGGGACAAAAGTTTTTGTTTTACTTTTTTAACCTCATAGGGCATTAACAATATTCATTTTAATAATAGAAAGGATAACTAATTCTTGCTCATTGCCAGGCATCATTCTAAACATGCAGGAACCCTTTGAGAATCGTAATTATCATCATTATCCTCTTTTACAGCTGAGTAAATGGAGACAAGGAGCCAAGACTGAAACACAGGAAACACAAGAGTAAACACATTTCATCACCACACTGTGTTGCTCCATTCAGCCTAAGCGGTTGGGGTCAGCGCAATCATACATGCAATTCCAGTAAATGGTTTTCATATGAAGGAGACAAGACACTGTATAGAAAACCTTAGAACAATATTTGAAAGGCTAGAGAAACCATGAATTAAATTGCTCTTAGTTCAGCAAATGATGATGGATTCAGTATTGTACTGGGCGGAAAATATACTTGTTGAGACTACAGAAACCTAACAATTGCCAGCTTATTAAAAACTAATTGGAGGAATTTAATCCCCAGCAAAATTACATTCCCGTTCTGCCTCTCTCCCGTGTAAGGCAGGCACTGCGCTGCTGACCTATATCCCCAGCGCTGAAATGTGTTTCTTCTTTTTTTTGAGACAGAGTCTGACTATATAGTTCAGGTTGGTCTTGAATTCATCATGTAGCCCAGGCTGGCCTCTAATTTGCAGCAATCCTCCTGCCTCAGCCTCCTAGGTACTGAGGTTACATGCATGCACCTGTGTTTTTTATATGCCAGTAAACTTCATATTTATATAATTTCTTTTCAGTAATTGTAGGGTATAAGGACATTTAAAACTGAATTTCTGTTAATTGTTGGGGTTTTCCCTCTGGATTCTATTTAAATTCTTGGTACATACCCCTCATCTTTTCTTTTTAGTAGCAAAAGAGTTTGTAACTGGATGTTATATTTTATAATTATAATGTATATTTTTAAAAGATTTCTGTGTTTTAGACAGAGTTCAACTATTTTCAAAGAACTTGTAGATTAGCAAACATCATGTTTTCCATAATCTGAGAAGATATGTGCATATACCCCAACATAAATACAGATTATATCCAGTACATAGAAAAATCTCATTCAAGTATAGCCAGTTGATAGAAACTGGAGGCGGGGGGGGGGGCAGCACTAGAAAGTTCAGCTTTTAGATTTTTAACCTCCATAGCAGAGGATAGGAGATCAGGATACAGCTAGAATGGGTGTTGAGCAAGCCAGTCGAGATGTCCATTACTGTGAGTAAACAGAAACACAATAAATAAAAATCAAACTTAAACTAAAACACACAGGCTCAGGTAGAGGGTAGCTCCCTGGTAGAGCACTTGTTTAACACGCCAAGGCCCAGGATTCAATTCCCTGCCACCAGAACCACATTGCAGGAGGTAGAGAACAAATAACTTCTTTCATCTCCACCTCAGCCTCAGTATGGACCTGTTAAGGAATGACGAGATAAATGTTCTGAAGAACTAGATAATGGGGTCTACAGATGTGTAATGGGGTTCTACAGAGGTGAGTATGTGGGATAAGCTATGACAAGGGTATGTGTGTGCGTCTGCTCTTAAAAAACAAATGGGGATGGGGATGGCTGGCTCTGATTCACAATTTGGATTTCACTCTTCTCCCAACAAAAGATTATAGAAAACTATATGCAATTTCAGTCATCTGTAATATCCAAGGTTTTCTGTCGGGGTTCATGAAGAACATCTTGTGAACTAAGCTAGTCTAGAGTCAGAGCTGTTCTGGAAATCAGAGCAGTGCATTACATAGTTGGTAGTATTTTTTTCTTTTTCTTTCTTTCTTTCTTTCTTTCTTTTATTTTTTCTTTTGTTTTTGTTTTGTTTTTGTTTTTGTTTTTTTTTGAGACTGGGTCTCACTGTGCAGCTCAGGCTAGCTTTGAATTCATTATGTAGCCCAGGCTAGCCTCAAACTCATGCCGAACCCCCTGCCTCAGCCTCCCAAGTGCTGGGATTACAGGCATGCACCCCTATGCTCAATAAACTATAAAACTTAAGCAAGAACTCTACAAAGGATAGCAGAATGAAGGCACGTACACCATTGTCACAATCATTTACTGTACCAACAGGAAGTTTGATATCTTCTGGTTTCACCACTCATGCCTGGTAGACCGAAGCTGGGATTGGAGTCAAGGATGAAGGGAGGTCATTGACCTTCCTTCCTCTGGAAGGAAGATCACAAGTATAAAGCCAGCCTGGGCAAATTAGCTACCCCCCCCCCATCTCAAAATAAAATAAGAGCTAGGAATGTAGTTCAGGGGTCTCTAGTTTCAATTCCCAGTACAGGGTCAGGAAGAGCTCAAGAAGGTTAAAAAAAATGTCCAAATCCATAAAATGTACAACAGCAAGACTGAACCCTAATGTAAACTATGGGCCTTGGGTGATAATGATATGTCAGTTTGGTTCATCAACTGTATTATTGTGTCACTCTGGGGGAGGGATAATAATAATAGTTGAGAGGGTTATGGGTACCTGAAGATGGGAGTATATGAGAAATATCTGTACTTGCCTCTCAATTCTGTTATAAATGTAAGGCTTGTTTTTAAAAACAAAAATTTAAAATGTTTTAATTTTGCATTACAAAACAAACTATATCATTCCAGCTTTGCATTTAAAATATGTACCCCAAAATACGAAAGAGAGACACATCAAAATAGTAACAGGTTTTCTGGATCATGGATATATGTATGGACGGTTGCCTTTTATTTGCCTATGAGCTGCTTTTTCTCCATGATTTATTTAAGGACTATATATGCATGACTCTAATCTATATCTAAGCCTAGTCTATACAGGAAAGCTAATTTTTTAGACAAGTATATACTGTGTGTCAGGTACTTTTATATAATCTTTCACCCTCAAAACAGCCGTCAAAACTGGGTGCATTACTCTTTCTCTATGTACGTCTGATGATGGAATCGAAGAGAAAGAGTGAACAACTGGACTGAAATCAGGGAACTCATTAGGTGGAAGAGCTGAGATTCAATGTTTGACTGTAAAAAGTCACATTCTTTCCAGTCTAGGGATATACTTCAAAGGAGTTTAGACTTGAAGAAAATCTCAGAGACCATGGTGTTTGTTTGTTTCATCAGGAATCAAACTCACGACCTCACGCTTGCCAGACAAATGCTTATGCCACTAAACTATATTCCAGGCCTAGACTGCGGTGTTTGAACTCCACTTGACATATAAGAAATTGAACCCCAGAGAAATTAAAAGACTTGTGCAAAAAGCAAATCGTTCACTAATGATTTAAAAAACAGCAATAGTGTTTGTTTGGGCAGCACATATTACAGTACTAAATTCCCCTGTGTGAGGATGACATGCCAATCTGTAAAAAGTTCAATTTTAAAAGTAAAAAGAATACCGGGAGTAGTGGCGCACGCCTGTAATCCCAGCACTCGGGAGGCTGAGGCAGGAGAATCGTTGCGAGTTCAAGGCCAGCCTGGGCTACAAAGTGAGCTCAAGGTCAGCCTGAACTGCATAGCGACACCCTGTCTCAAAAAGTCAAAACGACAAAAAAAAAATTTTTTAAAAATTAAAAAATAAAAAGAATGACAGCAATACCAGAAAACATAAACACACCAGGCGCCCTGATTGGCAGACCAGTGCCCCTTTCCGGGCTTGGTTTAGACAGGCAATCTGTCTTTCCCTATCGCCAACTTAGGGGTGGCGTTTCACTAGTCTGCGTACCTTCGCTAGTGCGGCAGTGAGAACTGTGCATGCAGACTAGCAAACTTGGGCGAGTGGCTGTTGAACAGCAACAAACCTGGAGAGGGTGGGAGAAAAATGGCGCCATCTCCTGTTGGTACAGGAAATGGCAAGGAGGAAAGATGGCAATCCAGACGCTAGGGTTTAAGGCAGAGTCTGAACACTAGTACTCTCTTAGCGGCAGTAAGGTCTGGATCTGGAAGATAAAGACAGTGGCAAACCCATTTAATGGTGGATCCGGTGAAAAATCGCTCGTAGGGCTAATCACCCATCACCTTTAGGAAACACACTCATACTCCTCCCCACCATCCATGAAACTCGCTGGAGAAATCTATACTCTTGGATCCTAAACTTTAAATTTACCTAAGGTTATATTCATCTTAACAGTAGTAGAGATCACAGATAAAGAGGAAAACGAAAGAATCTCTCATTTTTTCCCTGGAGGGGAATCAAACCCAGATCTCTCGAGTGATGGGGGAGGAAACTCGCCACTATACTAACAAGGAAAGGAACAACCTACTGCTAAAACTTAATTCCTATGAAGATTATTTCTATGCTATTTGAGCACGCGTGGTGGTTACTGTTTGCCGACAAAGTTATTTTCATGTCTGGAACTGTACATTATAGCAGAAATATGATGCAAAGCCACATGTGATTCTTTTTTTATTATAGCCACATTAAACGTAAAAAGAAGCTATATTTTTAATAGTAAACTTTATTTAATGAATACTATATTTCCAAATTATTTTAACATAATCAATATAAAATTATTAACTTGACTTTTTCCTTATTAGTCTTTAAAATCTGGTGTGTATTTTACACTTGCAGACTGCGCACTTCACTGGAACTTTAACATTTTATAGGAAAAATCATCAGTATTTAGATTTCATAAAATTTATAATAGAAAAATAGAATCATATCTCCGTTTTCACTGAAACTGTCTTAGCGTTCTACAATAACTGAACTGAGTATCCGTTCACAAACTTCCAGTTATTTAATAATTTCACTTAGTGTATTTATTTCAACTGAATCTCAAATTAAATTTAAATTTGAAAATACACTATATTTAGACTCACTCACAGTTTCAGGTGTTCAGAAGTCGTAACTACCTTTTGAACCTTGCAGATAAAAATACAAGAAGCTGAGATTCAGACGAGAGATCACAGAACCCGGAAGATCTCAAAGATTCTTCAAGCGTTGGAAGTTTAAAGAGAGAGAAAGGGAGGAAAGAAGAAACTCTTCAAAGTCTGATCCTGTCAAAACAGTGCTGGGCAGAGAGAGTTCCACAAGCAAGACTGAAAGTGGAAAAGAAAGTGAGGTAAGGCTGCAATTCCTGATTTCTTTCAGGTGTGAAGTAAAACGCACACCTTATCTCTGGCTCTCGTCAGGTATACTAAGTAGTAGTGGGAAGGAAAATAAAACAGTTGCGTTGGCCGGGAATCGAACCCGGGTCAACTGCTTGGAAGGCAGCTATGCTCACCACTATACCACCAACGCTTGGCGGCTCACAGGTTTTGGAATTATGTACATAAAGATATAGACAGTAAATTTACTGATAGTTGAAAATTTATGACTTCAAGGAAGAATAAGCTTGAGCCTCCTACTGCTGGGAGTCCAAGAAGCGAAACTGCTCGATAACTAGAGAAAAAGCGCCGATTTAGCTCCTGGAGGGATATTTCCTCCGCCGCTGTTATCCTTGCTTTCTTCCCAGCTCCCAGCTCCCAGCTCCCAGCTCCCAGCTCCCAGCTCCTCGATGCCACACTTGGTCCGCTGGGTGTCTGCGTAACACCGACTTAGGTGAGAGCGTGACGGGCCGGAACGAGATCCACCAAAGCCTAGCTCTGCCTCTCCAGAGAGGACTGCGTGAAGAACGCTAGAGAAAATGGAGCTTCAAATTTTGAGGTAATCAGGAAGTAGCAGATAGGAACCAGCTGCCTGTGACAGTTTTATTTTTCTTATTTTGCAAATAGGTTCCGGACGGTTTTTTTAGTTGAAAAAATAAGTAGATTGAATACTTTGGCATGATTTTATGTCATGTTCCAACAGTTGTGAAGAAAGTTAAAGGAAAACAGAAAAACAAAAACACTCACTGTCAGGATGGCCGAGCGGTCTAAGGCGCTGCGTTCAGGTCGCAGTCTCCCCTGGAGGCGTGGGTTCGAATCCCACTTCTGACAACGTGAGTTTTTTTTTTTTTACTTGCAAAATAACACTTAGAAAAGGGAGTGTTGAAAGACATTTGTTTTTTAGCTAGTATCAAGTTATGTGTCTACACGAAGATTGTTACACGCCACTGTAAGTGCTGAGTTACACTACTGGGAGCCCAATGTTCAATTGAAGCTAAGATTTCTCTTTATGAAATGATACGCATTTTAACTTTAGACTCCAGTTTCCTGGTGCCTTTTTATATAGTTTTCTATCTGACAATAACATATTGAGCCCTTTCTATATGTCGAGCACACTGTGACAGACCGTTCTCAGTCTTTGAACAAGGGAAAAAGCCTTGAAAACCTACCCCTACCACCAAATCTAATCTTGTAGGTTTCCTATTTCACACCAGGAAAAGAAATCGACAGACCAAATGGAGAGGTGATCGGGAAAATAAACTCTCGGAATTGGTTGTTTCAAGAAATCCTTTTTCAGGGAGACCTCAAATCACTTTCTGATTTGCACAAGCTGGGCATGTAAACAGCCTTGTTGTGAGGTGGGGCCTGAAATCTAAATTTCTAAGACCTTTTGAATCTGCCTTTTACAAGATGTCCAGATGATTCGAATGCACATTAAAATTTCAGAACTGTCTACCTAATAATCTAAGGGTCCACACAGGTTGATCTTTAACCTGGAACCCCTTTCCCTTGCTTCTCAGCAGGCCACCTTTTACTCAGTAACATTTAGGCATTTACCGTTTTTTAAAACTTGAAAGTGGTTGCTTGTCTTGGGTAGGAATTGAGGGTAGGCCAAGATTTGATATTTTAAAATAATGGATATATTTTTTTTTATAACTTTTATCATTGTTTTGGGGGAGAAACTGAGTGACATAACTGTGATTAATAACCAACAAAGACTATACAACATAATGGTTGGGGGAGGGGTACTTGAGATTAATTCAGGGCCTTCACACTGAGCGACATCTCCAGACTGTTTAAACATTTTTTTTTTAATTTTGAGCTGGGAATGGTGGTACATGCCTATAATCCCAGTATTTAAGAAGCTGAGGCAGGAGTATTGCTGAGACTTTGAAGCCAGCCTGAACTACATAAAATGACCCTGTCTCAAGATATATATATAATACATACTAATATATGCATACTGTACTATATATACTAATATACTTGTCACTCCTTGGAAAGGAAGGGAAGCTTCGACGTCAAGAGACAGCTGCCCCCTCAGTCCGAGCCGAAGTCCCTAGGACTTCTCTCAAACTTGCAAGCTGAGGAGACTCACATGTTGGCCTCAGTTCCTAGGCTGAACTCAGCAAATCAGCCCATGAAAACTTCTGCACTGAGACAAAGGAAAGGATCCGTCAGAAAGCAACACCTATTATCTTGGGCTTGGCAGCAAGGAAGAAGACAAGTTGTGGAAATATTGCAATCTGAAAAGCAGACGGAGAGGTGACAAAGAAGCTGAAGATGGGCGGTGGAGAGAGGGATAACATTCCAGCCCCTCAATCCAGAAATGTTACTAAAAACCAACAACAGCTTAATTCACAGAAAACCAAGGATCAGAATTCCCAGATGAAGATTGTTCATGAGAAAAAAGAAAGAGGACACGCTTATAACTCCTCAGTAGCTGCAAGGCAGGCCATGCAGAATGGGGGGAAGAACAAGAATTTTCCAAACACTCCAAACTGGAACTCCAGTTTATCAAGTCCCAGTTTGCTTTTTAAGTCTCAAGCTAAGCAGAACTATGCTGGAGCCAAATTTAGTGAGTTGCCATCGCCAAGGGTTCTTCCCAAACCACCAAGCCGCTGGGTTTCTGTTTCCTTGAATCCTTCAGGTAAGGAAATAACGACATTTCAACTTAAAACCTTACTTAAAGTGCAGGTATAAAGATGATGTTTAGATTCAGTTATATTTATAAATAGTGGTTAATTGGTCTGAAAGAAATTTAGTAGAGAATCTTTGTGTAAAGCTGATGATGTAAAGCTATGATCAGACTTCATCTCATTTGTGTTGTGGGCACTGGGATTAATAGTATCAGTGCAACTTAAAATAAGTAATTGTACTTGACAAAGTTCTCAATTAGGTAACTTTCAAGTGAAATGGCTAAAAGTTTAGATTTGAGGAATCAACTTTTTTATTTAGTGGGGGAAAGTAATGATTTAAGACTCATGGGTCAGGTTTACTTGTGGTGATTCAGATTATAAGCATCTTCCTGACACAAGTTTGAAAACCAGGCAGACATCTGAAATTTTAATGTCTCAGGAATACCCAAACCAACATGCCAACAACCTAATGAACTATCAAAAGAAAATGTGAATTTTTCTTAAATAATTGCATTGTACTAAATTGTGCAGTGATAAATGTGTAAATGGCATTTGGGACTTATTAGAATGAGGCACAATAAATACCCTGGTGGCCTTTATAAAACACATCACCAGCAGGCCTCTGGCAACAGATGCACCAAAACTTTTTCTGTAGCTTTCAAAATAAATCTGTATTACAGCTCTGCACAAGCTATTCTGACAGTGATCTGGTCTCATCCTTGCAAAGTTTAAAGCCAGGAATGATATAATGTGAAATTTTAAATTCTTAGGGAAAAAGAGTCATGTAAACACATGTAATAAGCTTGTAGCATATGTAAAGGTTTCTTGATTTTTATCCTACAAAAAATATGTTAGTATGAATTTGCTGAATGTAAGACCATGGACTGTTATACTAGGGCCTAATTTGAGAGGTCCACAATTGTTTTTAAAGATTGCTCTTGTGCTAAAGTGCCAGTGTATGTATGTTATAACTGATTTGGTTGTAGACTATATTTCAAAATAAATCCTACTGTAATATGTTTTATATTACAGCTAAAAAGGTTTAAGCTGCTAAAACATTTCTATTTTTAAGAGATGAAAAGTGTAGTATAGGATTCCTCTATCACCTATTGTTTAAACCCAAAGATTAATTTTGGCTTTTGAGCCGGGCATGGTGGTGCACACCTGTAATCCCAGCACTCAGGGTGGCTGAGGCAGGAGGATCGCTGCAAGTTCAAGACCAGCCTGGGCTACAAAGTGAGCTTGAGGCCAGCCTGAACTGCGTAGCCAGACTCTGTCTCAAAAAAAGGGGAAAAAAATTTTTGGCTTTCACCACAGATAAGTGATTTCTGGTTTTTTGTCATAAGGTCAACCCAAGGAACCACTCATGCAAAAGATGTGATCTCTTGCATAATACCCAACAACCACAATTCAAAACATGGTGTGGTAAATTAATCCAATAACAAGGTAGAAAAAATTGATTCTAATGCCCTATTTTCTATATAGCATCATTTTTGATGTTTATAAACAGAAAAGCAGAATTGTATTTCTCCAGATTCAGATGAAATATTGCCCAGATCAAATATTGAATATTCTAAAGACAAGTTTATGTGGTACTTAATGTTATATGGTATGAATTTAAAACATAAAATTAAAAAATAAATTTCCCCCCCAAAAAAGAAAGAAATCTCAAAGAAACTAAACCAAAATTACCAAAAGCAATCATTGAGCAGTAGAAGTGGTTAATTTACTTAAATCTCCCTATAGAGAATTATATATCACCCAGACCTACCCTAACATATACTATTCCCAGTCTATTTGGGGATCTTGTCTCCAAAATAATGGATAAAATGACAGGCATAGAAACATCTAACAATCATGTAAATTGTTTGTCTGTGTTATTAGTATAGAGACTAAGAAACTAATCTCCCAACACAGAATTTTTATCTTAGGGTCTCACAAGGGAAATTTACCAGTACTTAAATTTCTCTCCATCCTCTGCTTTTTCAACTCCACTTATATCCCTCCCTTTTTCTGCACTGCAAGTTGTGTCCTATCACCCCTCATACTGCAGTACTGTCTCAGTGTGTCAGCCTCAAACTGCCTTATCTTGTTTTCCCCTACAGGAAATTTGTGCACAGCCTTGTGAATTGTTTTCATGTCCCTCCTTCAGCTTCATGAGCCTCATCATGTATATCACTGACTGCAAGGAAAACCAGGAAGGAGTTTTTAAAGTTTATTTAGATCCACAACTATATTTCACATCCACAAAATCCATACATGAAAGTAAAAATAAAAACAAAATGTATAACAAAGCAATGTTAAAAGTGCCACACAAATGTTAATAAAAAACCAATGGTTTCTGTTTGTATGAAATGGGGGAAGAGGAATTTTTTTAAAAAGTCAAATAATGACAACCTCAGTTATACCACATACTGAGAAGAAAGCTCCCAGCTTTAGGGGGAAGATACCATTCACCCCAGAACCACTGAAGTTACCGGACAGAATCATAGAAGAGTGTCTAGAAGGCCCATAAGCCCAGGCCTTTACAGTAATAGCAGACTTATCATCAGAGGTCATCTAATCAACCTCCTCAATGAGAGGGCCAGTACTGGGCCTCCCCTGGCGGGCTTGAGCCCCACAGCTGCTGCCTCCTGGAACACTAGGCCCTCCATACAGCCTAGAAAAGATGGGGCGGCAGATTTGCTCCAGTTCCTTCTTCTGATGCTCGTATTCCTCTTTCTCTGCCAGCTGGTTGTGCTCCAGCCAGGCAAGGACTTCCTGACACTTGTCTTGCACTTTGTGCCTGTCCTCTTCAGGAATCTTGTCCCTAAGACTTTCCTCTTGCAAGGAGCCCTTTACCTGGAAGATATGAGCCTCCAGGGAGTTTTTGGCAGCCACCCTGTCCCTCTGGGCCTCATCCTCAGCCTTGTACTGCTGAGCCTCATGAACCATTCTCTCCACTTCTTCTTTGCTCAGCCGGCCCTTGTCATTGGTGATGGTGATCTTGTTAGCCTTGCCCGTGCTCCTGTCAGTGGCTGTCACACTCAGGATGCCATTGGCATCAATGTCAAAGGTCACCTCTACCTGAGGGACTCCACGTGGGGCAGGGGGGATGCCACTGAGCTCAAAACGCCCCAGCAGATTGTTGTCCTTGGTCATGGCCCTCTCACCTTCATACACCTGGATCAAGACCCCAGGCTGGTTGTCACAGTAGGTGGTGAAAGTCTGGGTCTGCTTGTTTGGAATGGTGGCATTCCTCTGGATTAGTGTGGTCATCACCCCGCCTGCTGTCTCCAGCCCCAAAGATAGGGGAGCCACGTCCAGCAGCAGGAGATCCTGCACTTTCTCACACTTGTCCCCCATCAACACTGCCGCCTGCACAGCAGCCCCATAGGCCACAGCCTCATCAGGATTGATGCTCTTGTTCAGCTCTTTGCCGTTGAAGAAATCCTGCAGTAGCTTCTGCACCTTAGGGATGCGGGTGGAACCACCCACTAGGATGATGTCATGGATTTGGGCCTTGCCCAGCCTGGCATCCCGCAGGGCCTTCTCCACAGGTTCCAGGGTGCTGAGGAAGAGGTCCGAGCACAGTTCCTCAAAGCGGGCACGAGTGATGGACGTGTAGAAGTCCATGCCTTCGAACAGGGAGTCAATCTCCAGAGTGGCCTGAGTGCTGGAGGACAGAGTACGCTTGGCCCGTTCGCAGGCTGTGCGCAATCGGCGAAGAGCCCGCTTGTTGCCGCTCACATCCTTCCCATGCTTCCGCTGAAACTCCGCCACGAAGTGGTTCACCAGCCGGTTGTCGAAGTCCTCTCCACCCAAGTGAGTGTCTCCAGCCGTGGCCTTCACCTCGAAGACACCAGCGTGGATAGTGAGGACTGACACATCGAAAGTGCCTCCACCAAGGTCAAAAATGAGCACATTGCGCTCCCCGGCCCCACGCCGATCCAGCCCATAGGCAAGGGCGGCTGCAGTGGGCTCGTTGATGATCCTGAGCACATTGAGCCCCGCGATGGCTCCCGCATCCTTGGTGGCCTGGCGCTGCGAGTCATTGAAATAGGCAGGCACCGTGATCACAGCGTTCCTCACAGGCTGGCCCAGGTATGCCTCGGCTGTCTCTTTCATCTTGCTCAGCACCATGGATGAAATTTCCTCAGGGTAGAACGCCTTGTCCTCCCCGCGGAAGGATACGCACACCTTGGGCTTGCCGCCCTCGCTCACCACCTGGAATGGCCAGTGCTTCATGTCAGACTGCACCGTCGCGTCCGAGAACTTGCGCCCTATCAGGCGCTTGGCGTCGAACACAGTGTTGTGCGGGTTCAGGGCAGCTTGACTCTTGGCGGCGTCCCCCACCAGCCGTTCGGTGTCGGTGAAGGCCACGTAGCTGGGCGTGGTGCGGTTGCCCTGGTCGTTGGCGAGGATCTTCACCTTGTCGTGCTGGAACACGCCCACGCACGAGAACGTGGTGCCCAGATCGATGCCGATTGCCACTTCCCTTGGGGCCGACATGGTTGTGGCTTCCTGTGGTTGGAATAACTTAAGACGCAGAGGCTCTGGAGGTCTGTGCTGCTCAGGCGCAGAGGGTAGTTCAGCAGGGGAAGCTGCTCCCAGACACTGTCAGTCCACCCACCCCCAGGAATCTGCTGTGCACCTGGGCCGCCCGCCTTTTATAGGGCTGCGGAGCCCAGCCCCGCCCCCACCGCCCCCGCAGCCCCCGGCAGCCCCGAACCTTCCAGGGCCCTCTGCGCCCGCGGCGGCTGAGTCAGCAGCAGTCACCCTGCTGACTGGGGCGGGCGGGAGGGGTGCGGAAGGCTGGGCCGGCCTCGTCGGCCTCTGATTTCGAGCTGCGGAAGAGAAACACCGAGAAAGTTCCAGCTTCTCCGGGCTGGTTCTCACAGCGCCCAGCTGTGGCTGACGCAGTGAAGGCAGTAACCGCGGACGAACTCTCCGCCCCGGCTCGGGAAAGCCGAAGAGACGTTACCATGCGTGCGAGCAGCGGTCTCAGAGCCGGGAGTTCACATAGTCGCTCTAGTATTTTTTAAAAGTTTATTTTGAAAAAACAAAACTGTTCGTTTTAAAATACAAACGCAGTATTTGCAAATGGATTCAAAACAGTAGTCTGATCTGTGTGCAGGGTGCTGCGGGAGATCGCAGTGAAGTCAAGAGGAATAGCTGAAAAGTGTTGAGCGTTTGTGGCATTGGTGGTTCAGTGGTAGAATTCTCGCCTGCCACGCGGGAGGCCCGGGTTCGATTCCCGGCCAATGCACAATGTTTGTTTTTGTTCAAGCCTTATTTTTTCTTTCTTTTTTATTCTAAGATTTGTAGCACTTCAATAAAAGAAACAAATCTGTCAAAGGCCGTGGGTTATTTTGATACGGTTCCTGCTTCTTTTCCTAGGCTTTACTCAGAGAAGCCGGGATGTAGCGCTGGGGTGAGGGACGCGGGACCCGGGAAAAGAACTCAACCTATGGGAGGAGGAGATACAATGTCTCCTGAACGTCGCTCCAGAAGCTTTTCAGAGGCCTGTGCATTTTCTCTGTGGCCGAGGAGTTTCCATTTCACACTCAAGATTCAGGCGGAAAGTAAATTGCTACACAATCGAGGAAGAGATTGGGTCTATAGGTAGTAAGGTCACACTAGTTACCACCAGGGCTGTGCCCTTGCGAATTGAGTCTTTCCATGTCCCACTTCGTTAATCCAAAACATTCCACTTGAATTTTTTGGTGTTTCGGCTTTGATGGAAAGCAAAAAAAAAAAAAAAGAAAGAAAGAAAGAAAGAAAGAAATGCATTTAAAACAAGCGTGGGTGGAAATGCTCTTGGAGATTAAGCAAAAGCGGCTCTTACCTCCCCGTCGGGGAATCGAACCCCGGTCTCCCGCGTGACAGGCGGGGATACTCACCACTATACTAACGAGGACAGCAGTTACTTTTGCTTGCACCTATACGACATGTGATAGTTTTCTCGTATTTAGCATATTAGAAGGCTGTATTGTTATTTGCCTGATTCCAAGGAAATTTCTACCATTATAAAGAAAGATATTTTTTAAAAAGAAAGATATTAAAATGTGCAGCTCGTGTGCAGTTGTTTTCTCCAACAGATTAGGATTCAGTGGGACCAGTGGGCCTCTGAAGAGGGAGACAGGGCCAGGCTGTGAAGTCAGTTCTCTCCCAGTGATGCCAGAAAAAGCTGTCAATCGGCTACCAGAGAAATTAGCAGTACTGGAACGTAGGTGATCAGTCCAGGAAAGAAAGGGAATATTTCAAGTATCAAATGAATTCCACAATGGAAAAATCATATTATCCTCAAAGAGAAGTAACCCATTCCATAACTCTAGGAGAAAGAGAAGTCAGGCATAGGAGCCAGAATCCAGAGGGCCTTCAAGAGAAGGGACGCCACCTCAGAAGGGAAAAGATTGCCTGGCTTGGGGGTCTGTGTCCTCGCATGTTCAGGGACTGCCTTGTTTGGGCTCCTCCAAAAGTTTCTCCCAGCCTTCAGCAGCCTTAAAATATTACTTAGTGAGCTGGGAGTATCACTTAGCCCTAGAGCAGTTGTCTCGCATGTGCACAGCCCTGGGTTTGATCCCTAGCATCAGACAAACATATACACAGTTCTATTCACTTAACCTCAAAAGTTGGGGATATCACCTTGAAGCAGGCTATGAGTATTCATGACCTCACACAGTCATATTTTTATTTTTTTTAATGTATTTGTTTATTTATTTATTTTGGTTTTTTTGAGACAGGGTCTTGCTATGCAGTTCAGGCTGGCCTTGAGCTCCTTTTGTAGCCCAGACTGGTCTCGAACTTGCAACCGTCCTCCTGCCTTAGCCTCCAGAGTGAGGGGATTATAGGTGTGTGCCACCACAACGGGCTCATATTTTTAATGTGTTTGTTTGTTTTCTGATATTAGGTATGGAACCTCAGGCATTCACACAGGGAAGTCACTTAATTGCTCAGGCTGGGCTCAACCTTGTGATTCTCCTACCTTATACTCCCAAAGGGCTGGGATTACAGGTAGGCCACACCAGGCCTAGTTTATTTTTTTGACTGATCTCTTCACAGAGGTTCAGCCATAGGGAAGTTTACACATGCAGTGCAAATTTTGTACATACCGTTAAACATACCCATTTGTGTTTTGTAGCGTAGTTTGCTTATCTTTTAAAGTAGAACAGACATTAAAGTAATGAGTTACATATTGTGAACTGAAGGGATGATTATCACCCAACACTGACCACACAACAAAAAGCAATCTGTATAGTAAAATTTATAGCATGATCCAAACTATATGTAAAGATCTGTCACACCAACTCCCATTTTTTAAACTTTATTCTTTTCATTAGTACGTATTTATTATACTTATGGATCACATTCATCATAGAGAATTTGGACCTGTAGACAACACATCTTACTCATATGTTCTTTTTTTTTTTTTTTTTTTTGGTTTTTCTCTGGTACCGGGAACCGAACTCACGACCTTGCCAGGCAGGTGCTTTTGCCGCTGAGCTAAATCCCCAGCCCCACTCATATGTTCTTAACCAAGTCATTTCAACTATCTGAGCCACAGCTGCTCTGGTTTTAAAATGAGGAGAGTAGACAACCTTGTTTTTAGGGTCAAAAGGTCTCTGATTTCAAACTTTAAGAATTTATTCCACAAATATTTACTGAATGCTAAATCACATGGCGCTGAACTAGGCACTAAGAATATAGCAAACAAATAGACAAAGGCCTCTCCTGGAGCTTACATTCAAATGGTGGGGGGAGGGCCAAACAAGAAACATGTAGTACATCAGTTGATGATAAATATAATGTAAAAAAATAAAGCAGGTGAGGAGAATTAGAAGTATGATGAGGCGTAGAATTATACTGAATAATCAAGGAGAACCCACTGATAAAGGCACATTTGAGTAAAGACCTAAATGATATTGTCTTGGTCTGATTTCTGTTGCTATAACAAAACATCTGAGAGAGGGTGAGTTTTAAAGAAAATAGGTTTCTTTATCTCACATCTCTGGAGGTTAGTCCAAGATCAGGTGGCCATGTCTGCTTGGCTTCTGATAAAAGCCTTATGTGCTCCATGCCCAACAGAAAAGTGCAAGAGCAAACAGGGCATTAGGAAAAAAGAAAATAGCCAAACTGCCATCATGGCTAAACTATTCCCTCAGGAAAAGCATTAATCCATGTGAGAGCTAAGCCCCCAAGACTCAAACACCTCCTCCTGGGCCCCATCTCCCAACACTGCTGCCCTGAGAACTAAGCTTCAAAATGAGCTCAAACCATAGCAGACATGAAGAAGCATGACACATGTATCTAAAAAATAGCATTCCTGGGAATGAAACAGGAAATAGCAAAAGCTGTGCTGAAGTATAATTCATGTGTCTAAGAGGACAAGAATATCCAAGAGTAAGCACAACAGAGGAGAAGGAATGAGGTTAGAGAGACAATGAGGAGCAATATCACATGGCATCTTGCAAAACACTGCAAAGGCTTTAGCTTTTACTCTAAGTGTGAAGGGAAGCTATTTAATGGCTTAAGCAAAGAAGTGACCAAAACAGGTGATTCCTTAGCCAAGGCTGCTTTCAAGGAGGGGCTATAGGAGAAAGAAAAGTGTGGCCTAAGAGATGTGCTGCCACTGATGTTATGCCATAGGATGAAAAGTCATTTATCCTAAATGTCCTTGTACCATCTGACTTGATTCTTGCAGTCTGTCATTGATCTTCCAAGGTCTCTCCGTACAAGGAAATACAGCCCTGTGTCCACTGCAAACATCAATCCCATCACCAGAGAGAAAACGAGCTGGTACCAAGGAGGAGACATGAATGGAATTTCCAGACCTGATAGGAGAGACGAAGAAATAGAGAAAATAATAGTCATTAAAGTAGAAATGTGAGGTCCCCACATTTAATAATAAACAGTGGGCCTTTAATCATACACACATTTAATAATAAACAGTGAGGTCCCCGGTAGAGAGCCTTTGTGACTTCACCCAAGCCAGGGGCTTAAGACAAAGTCAAAAGCAGATAGGTAGGTCAAGAAGTCTTCAAAGGATATCTTTGTCTCTCTGGATATCTTTGTCTCTCTGCATTCCCCCCAAAGCACTAAATCAGCATTTCTTAAAGGACAATGTGGCATATCTATCTGAAGTTAGGACAAAGATAAGTGGTCACCTTGGTTTAGCAATTGCATATGAAACACAGTTTAAAAGTTTTCTGCTGGGTGTGGTGGTGGAAGCCTGTAATCCGAGCTCTCTGAGAAGCTAAGGCAGGAGGATTGGAGTTCTCCCCTCACCTTGGCAACTTAGTGACTGACTGAGATGAGGCATTGACTCAAAACAAAAAAATCAGAGGCCGGAGAGAAATGTACCTCAATGCAAAGATCCTAGGGTCAATCTGCAGAACCCCACAATAAAGTTTTCTTTACAACAGACTTCTTAAAGCCTTTAACAAGCATTGTGAATATAAAAGGAAGGAACAGAGCATGCAGCATGTTCCACATCGATCTGACCACAGAACCCTTCATTCCAAAAAGCCCCTAGGGAGTTGCATGACTGGGGAGCTACAGAGTCCACAGACCACATCAGTGGATCTTCATTCACTACCTCCTCTGAGCCTAGGACTCTCCAACATCAGTCTGTCATAAGTAGTTTGTGATGCCTACTGAAAAGGCACCACAGGAATTGCTTAATGCAAAATTTCTCAATAATAGACACAGGCCCAGTTCTTCATGGGTGGAGAGGTATTCCCCAAACTCATTCAGCTGCCCTGAGCTATAGTTTGAGCTTAGGCTAGGAGGTCATTAGGCAGGCACAAGCCTCAGAACCCTTCAGGCAGAAGGACACAAAACAGGAGTGGTTGAAAAGAGGTAGAAAAGAGGGAGGCTGATTATGTCTGGCAGATGTATTTGTGGAAAAGAAAAGATGCATCTTAAAATTGAGTGAATGGCATCCACTTCCATAATCCCAAAGGAATACACTGGTATAGAGCAGCATATCCACACAGCAGTCAAGTCAGCTAGAATTTTGAGGGTCCTGTGGACATTAAGAGGACCACTCAGGAGAATGCCATGTACCGAAACCTAAAAAGGATCAGTAATCCCCTCTCTAACCAGCCTTCCAATGCCTAAAGCTCCTTCAATAGTGCTGGCTCTTACCTTGGACAGTGATGGTCACAGGCTGTGATGAGTGAGACGTCCTTCCTATATGTCCTGTGCAGTGGTAATCACCACTGTGATTGCGGTTTGCATGTGGGATGGAGAAATTTCTACTGAGAGAGAAAAATTTCTTGGCTATTCCATTCTGGTAGAATGTGACCTTTGCCAAAGGCTTGCTATTCCAGCTGTGGCACCTCAGCACGATGACGTCCCCCTCCTGGAAAACCAGCTGAGGAGTCTGGAGCAGCAGCCAGTCTGAAAGACACACAGGAAGAAAAACTTCTAATGGTAAAATACCAAGACCTTTGCAGGAGCTCAGGGCTACACGACTCATAGAACTTGCAAAAATATTGGGCGGCAGCTTCCTGGCAGATGTAAGCATTCCTATACAGGGAAAATACGGTATTATGCCTGTGGGAACTCTGAAGGATAGGAGTTTCCAGAAGATCCAAAGATAAACAGCAGATATTTAAAAGTAATGTTGAAGAAAGTAAAACACTACAATTACATAGGAAAATTAGTGCATTTCAGCAACTGTAGAAGGTACTGAATAGGATCTGAAACCTTTGATTTCCTATAGATACAGGATTTGCTGTCTGGTAATTATTAATTTAACAGTGACTCTTCAAAAAGTTTGGGAAGTGAGCTATGTGGCTACTAATGGTATTAGCAGCAAGTAGAGCCTTAATAGTGAAAGTCACTCTATTTATTTATGTATTTATTTTTTGTCTTTTGGAGACAGGGTCTTCCTATGCAGTTCAGGTTGGCCTTGAGCTCACTTTGTAGCCCAGGTTAGTCTTGAACTCGCAACCATCCTCCTGCCTCAGCCACCCGGAGTGCTGGGATTACAGGCATGCGCCACCATCCCCTGCGAGCCACTCTATCTTAATCCATTCAGGTTGCTATAACAAAACAGCATAAATGGGATGGCTACAAACAAAAGAAATGTATTTATCACAGTTCTGGCAACTGAGAAGCTTGAGATCAAGATGCCAGCAGCCTTTGCATCTGCTAAGGACTTTCTTCTTGGTTTGTAGAATTGCCACATGATCACATGGTAGAAGTGATAAGAAGCCCACAAGCCCCTGTGAGTCTCTTTTCTTGAGGGGGCAGGGGCTTTTTTATAAGAAATCTCCTCTCAGTCATGACTCCATGCTCACACATATAAATCACTTCCTCAAAGGCCCTACTTCCTCTACTGTCACCTTGGGGATTAGGGTTAACATATGAATCTTAGGGAATATAAACATTCAAGACTAGGGCTCTGAGAGTATTGGTAGATTGTTTGCCTACCATGTAGGAGCCCCTGGGTTTGATCCTCAACTATTAAATAAAGTTTAAGTGAACTTTAGAAAGTTCACACATTTTATTTGTGAATTCAAACACTGACTATTTGAATTCAGTGTTCAACTGTGGCTCTGAACACAGGGTCACTGGAGAAAGTTTTAAAATTAAAGTCATTTTTCCCTCCTTGCCTATAGACACTCTCACTCCCAGCCACCCCTCTCTTCACTGATGGTAGAGTAATTGGGTTCCAACGTTCTGCTATTTTGAAGGATAAGTCCTAAAGAATATATTAATAGATTTATTAAACAAGAAACTCAAATTGCTCTGTTACAGAAATAAGTATCTCAATTTATTCTATCTTATTAAAATGAAAATTCACTTCTGAGACTAGTATTCTGGATAGGATAGGCAAGATAGTGTGACTGAGACAGCATGGAACAAAAATCTAAAGTCAAAATTCTTAGGGGCTGGGGATTTAGCTCAGCGGCAAAGCGCCTGCCTGGCATGTGCAAGGTCGTGAGTTCGGTTCCTGGCACTGGAGAAAAACCAAAAAGAAAAAAAAAAAAAGATTCTTATTTTGGCTCCTATCATTAGCTATTGAGTGTCCCTGGGTTTAAATTCCTCCAACAGAACTATGGGGTTAGGTGGTAGCTCTCTAGCAACTCCAACTTTTTCCTTATTCTTCTTTCTTTCCTTTTCTTTTCTTTTGATGTTTTTTGTTTTTTTTGTTTTTTATTTTGAGAAAGGGTCCCACTATGTAGTCCAGACTGGCCTTGAACTTGATTATGCAGCCCAGGCTGACCTTGGACTCACAATGATCCTCCTGCCTCAGCCTCCCAAGTGCTGGGATTACAGATGTGGGTCACCATACCTGGCTCTAGCAACTCTTTGGACTTAAATTTTTGTTATGTGTAATTTTACATTTTTAATAACAAAAGTCAGAAATACCATCTCTTTCTAGAGAGGAACGGGTACAAAAAGCAGAGGTGAATGATATCACTGAGCAGGTTTTTTAGTGTAACCTAATATTTATTTATTTTGCAGTGCTGGGAATCAAATCCAGGGCCATGTGCATTCTAGCTAAATGTTCTACCACTGAACGTTCCACAAGAGTGCAGTCTGCTTAGAGTGACTCTATCACAGCAGTCTCTCTGGTAGAGCAGGACTTAAAGGGCCATTAAAAAAAAAAACTGCCTTCTTTATATTAAACAGAAAAGTCTAAAGCATTGGGTGCTTACAGGTACCACCTACAGGGCTTATGCACCGAGGCACAACTGAAATTAACTACTCATATTTTCAGACGTTGGAGAGGGGCAGAAATAGTCTAGGAGTAGTTTCCTCATAGAATCTATTAAACTGAACACACCTCCTATTTACATAAAACTAAATCAGGTCATGTAATTCCTTTCACTATAACCGTCTCATGAGTTACAAAATGTTCAGCCATTAAAAGAATACAATCCTGTCATTTCCAACAACATGGATGGAACTAGAAGTCATTATGCTAAGTGAAATGAAACAACTACCTTGGGGGAAAGACAAGTATTACATAATCTCAATCACACACAGAATGTTTTTTAAAATGTTGATTTCATCAGACATGATAGTATACACCGGGAAGTGGGGAGGGTGAGGTAAGAGGATCACCTCAAGTTCAAGGCCAACCTGGACTAATAGTGAAATCCTGTCTCAAATAAACCTAGATAAACAAATTTTTAAAAAAGGTTGATTTCATAGAATGTGAAAGTAGAATGGTGGTTACCAGTGGGTAGTGAGAGTAGGGGGGAGGGAGGGCTGGGGAGAAGTTGGTCAGTGAGTACTGAGGTACAGTGAGCTAGAAGCAAGATGTTCTGGTGTGCAGTAGCACAACAGGATGCCTACAATGAACCATATATTCCAAAAACCTAGAAGAAAAGACTGTGAATGTTTTCCCTATAAAAAAAAATGACAAAGTGTTTGAGGAGATAAATTGTGTTTAACCTGATTGAAACATTACACAATATACACATGTATCAAGCCATTACATTATACCACTAATATACACAATGTTTATGTATCAGCTGAAAAAAATTTAATTTTTACAAAAACTATATCATAAATTTTCATCTCATTCAGAAATAGAAGTCCAAGTCATTGTGACAGGGTATCAGCCTGCACACCTTTAACCAGATTAGATTCCTTCCTTGGGGACCCGGTCTCCCGTACTCCCGGGCAGAATGATCTCTTGGTAGACTGACCTGCTCATACTTGACAGGGAGGCTCCCACTGTGAGCCTTTGCAGGTCTCTACCTCCAAGTTCTCTGCTTCACCACAGGAGAGGGGGGTGCTTTTATGAAATAGGGACCTCCTTCTGCTTCTCTCACTTGCAGCTGCCTCTCTGTGGCCTTGCCACAGTCTTGCTCAATCAAGACTGAGGCAAACACAACCTAATATATGCTGAGGAGCTTCTAAGAAAAGGGGTGGGTAAAGAGAGAAATGAGCCAGCTGTGGTGATGCACATCGGTAGTTCCAGCACTCTGGAAAACTTAGGCAGGAGGATCACAAACTGGAGCCTAATCTGGGCATCTTGCAATTTAGTGAGAACCTGTCTCAAAATAAAAATAAAAATGCTAGGAATGTAGTTCAGTGCAAAGGCTCTGTTTCAATCCCCAGTACTGCAAAAGAAAAAAGAAAAAGAAGGGAAGGGAAAGAAAAGGAAAGGAAAGGGAAGGAAAAGAAAGGAGAGGAGAGGAGAGGAGAGGAGAGGAGAGGAGAGGAGAGGAGAGGAGAAGACAGGAGAGGACAGGAGAGGACAGGAGAGAGGAGGGAAAAAGAAACGGAAGAAAAAGAAAATGAGAAGGCAAAACCACATCTAGCAAGTCACGGTGCTTCCCAGAAGTCAGGCCAGCCTCCTTTCCTCCCATCATCTACAATGTCAGCAGGTTCCCCTCACCTGGTCCTCCCAGCCCCTCCATCCTCTACTGACCAGAAATCACGTCCAGATGCACAGGGTCGCTCAGGCTGGTCCCTCCCCCCTGGCACCTGTACTCTCCACTGTCGTTGCTCTTGGCCGTGAACCTGTAGCTGGGCTGGACCTGGGCGGGGATGGAGTTCCAGTTGTGGAACCACTGGGTGGAGTGGTTCCCAGGGCTGCGAGCACCCTCGCAGGTCAGAGTCACGCGGTCTTCCCGGAGCACCTGGATCCATGGGGGCTCTCGTCTCACCATGGCCTTTGGGAGATCTGCTGAGAGGCAGATAGCAGAAAGGAATGTAAATAATTAACCTTGGAGGGGTCATGGATTCCAAAGAAGCATGAAATAGGGGCATTGCGCATGTCAAACTGAAACCTGATTTTTGGTGGTAGGCCTTACCTTACAAAATAAGTACAGTGTCTTATTCAGAGGAAACAGCACCATCAAAACAAGAAAGCAAAAAGCAAACTCACCAGTTAGCCTTTCTCCAGAAGCTGTAAAAGAGAAGTGGGTAAGTCAACACAGAGCAACAGAAGAAGATAATACAGTTAAATTGGCCCTGGTCACACGCTCTTATAATCCCAGCACTTTGACAGACTGAGGCAGGAGGATTCCAAGTGGGTGCCCAGCCTGGCCAATTTAGCAAGACCTTGTCTCAAAATAAATTTCTTAAAAGGACTGGGGATGTAGCTTAGTGAGGAAGCCCTGGGTTCAACCCCAGCACACACACACACACACACACACACACACACACACACATGCACACACACATACATATACACAGTGTGGAAGAAGAAGAAGCAGGGTAGAGGGAGGTGACTTGGGCTCCTTCTTTTTTCATGACCCATTCCCAGACCCTATTTGACAGGGTGTGGTGGCACATGTCCGCAATCCCAGCACTCAAGAGGCTGAGGCCGGAGAAACACTGAGTTTGAGGGCAGTCTGGGCTACACAGTGAGTTCAAGGTCAGTATGAACTACATAGTGAGACCCTGTCTAAAAAAAGCCTGTTTGCAGTTAATCTTCTATAAGAGCATCCTTTTATCTTATCCTCCTTACCTTATTTCTATCCATATGACATGACTACAAAGTACTATGGGTGTTTGAACTACAGGGAGCTTCTTAGACATTGTGAAAGTATCTCCAAAATCTGACCTTAGGAACCATGGAAGCTATAAGAATTCAGGGTTCTCTCTTCCCTTTGTCTGTCCCAAGCTTCTAGGACCCACACCTGTTCCTTACAACACTGTCCCTGGAGTCCAGGTAGTAGCAGTGGCTGAAAGTTCCCTCTTCCAAAACGACCCCCACTCACCCAACAGCAGCAAGATTGTCAGCGGTTGAAACAGCCATCGGCTGCGAGGATATACATTCTCCAACATTTGAATCTTCAAAGTCATGCCAGGTCTGGGCCACAGTCCAGAGAGGGTTAGGAGATGAACTTAAGAAAGAGGAAGGAAATTGTTTCATCTTCTTGTACATGTGTCATGAGTCACCAGATTCTCTTGCTGCTAAGAAGTCATTAACAAGTCAAGGAGTGAAGTCTGCTTTACAGTAAATCCCTCTGTCATGTAGCCCCTTGCTGTGTCTTCGTGGAAGGAAGCTCTGAGTTGTTGCTTCTCGGTGTGGAACCTGATGCAGGGACACACCAGGAGGGAGGGCTGGGGCTGGAGCCCAGGTTCTGGGGCCCAGTTCAGTGTTGTTCCCACTTCACTTCCTGTTCTGCCTTGCTGGCTAGTACAGAAAGTTCCACAAAAGCTTCAACTCAGACAAATCTAAATTTGCAACCAAAGAATCAATGTTAAAACAATAAAATAGGATAATTACCTTCAGAAAACATTCAATCCAAGAAGGTCTTTAAATGTACCATGGGTGAGACTACCCTCCCTGCCCCTGCCCTCCACATACGTAAATCTTTAAGTGCAAGATATAAATTTGGTAAGAAACTCATAAAGCAATTTCAAATGCCTTTTTTTGTTGTTGTTGTTTTTCCGGTACCAATAATCAAACTCAGGACCTTGCACTTGCCAGGCAGGCGCTGTGTCACTGAGCTAAATCCCCAGCCCCTCCAAATACTATTAAAAGAAGGAAAATGTAAGGACAGAGGTCTGTAGGTGAGAATATAAAACAGGAGCCTTCTTAGGTCTTCCAGCTAATCCAGACTAAAAGGAGTTAAAAACAAACTTTACTAGGGAGAGTCCCCTGGGAAGCAAGTCAAAGGCAGGGATAAAAAAAAGAGAAAGATAAAAAAACAAAAAAAAAACACAGACAGATAAAGAAAGGCACCAAATGGCCTTGGGACTTGCACCAAGAGACCAGAAAAAGAGCTGACAGGCAGGACACAGAGAGAAAACCAGGTGCACAAAAGATGTCACCTCCACCTCCAGTTAAAAAAAAAAAAAAACAGGAGAAGCAAGGGGGGCTAACTTTAAGGCAGTATGTACTCACACCTATGCACTAACATGTACACTTATATATGTATGTGTTCACTCTACAGTCATATTATTCACTTAGAATCATTATGGACTACAATAGATAGCCATACACCCCCTCACTAGCTCTAAGCTCACTATGAATAAGGCACCCTCTTGCCAACTAGCCACCTACGCCACAGATAAGGCCTTAAAAGATACATCAAGGGCAAATAACAGACAAAAAAGCCACACATAGACCATGGAAGAAATGACGTTAGACAGAGGTGCCGGAAGCCCTTCCAGTTAAGGCAAGTTCTGGGTAGAGGGGAAAGAGTCATTCACCGCCCGCCTCTGATAAAAACAGCTGAAAACAAAGGGCCCAGGGGTCCTCCGTCTTTCTGGGACACTCTACACTGATTCTTTCTTATCAGGGTACCTATCCATCTTCTCCTCCCTCCCTCCTTTTCTGCTTTACAAATAGTGTCTTGTTTATTAAATTCTGTCCCTCTAATTTCTTATTAGGGCTGAGTTTCTATCCAGGTGGGCTGCTCCAACAACAGAGCAGCAGTGCTTGTCCCCCAGATGCAACAGATAACACTTTTTTTTGTCCCTGTATTCACTCTCTACACACTTCTGACACCAAATTTGAGAGTTTTTTCTACACAAAGCAATTCTCCATCCCAGCCCTACTATTCCATTCTGACATTATCTACCTGGAATTAGCATCAGATCCCACAGTTTGAGCTTTCAGTCCCACAAGAGGGTCTCCTTTCAGGAGCCAGTGGCAAGTCAGGGCCTCATCTACTTCTGACTGATGGCTATAAATTAGAAGTTCCTGCTGGCCCTTGTGACACAAGCCTGTAATTCCAGCACTCTGGGAGGCAAAGACAGGAAGATCATAAGTTTGAGCCCCGCCTGGGCAACTGGGTGACTTATGAAGAACCTATCTCAAAATAAAAAGTAAAAAAGGGCTAAAGATGGAGCTCATGAAAAGACCTGGGTTCAACCCCCAGTGCCTCAAAAACAAAGCAAAAAACAAGAAACAAAAACCCTCTATTTCTTATGTAATTCATTTAGATGAGGAGTTACTACCTTAAGTGGGTCCCTAATGACCTGTGTCCTTATTGGAAAGGAAAATTTGGATACAAAGACAGACCCATACACAGGGAAAACACCATGTGAAACTTGGAGATCTACTGCCACAAGCCAAGTTACTACCAGAAGCTATGGAACAGATCTTTCCCTGCCTTTCAGAGACAGCATGGCTCTACACATATCCTGAACCCCAACTTCTAGCCTATGGAACTGTAAGACAAAAAATTACTGTTGTTACATTGGATATGGATACACATGCCTGTAATCCCAGCACTCAAGAGGCTAAGGCAGAAGGACTGCCACAAATTTGAGGCCATGCTGGGTTACATAGTGAGTTTAAGGTTACACAGTGGTTACACAGTGAGTTCAAGTGTGAATTGCAGAGTGACAGCCTGTCTCAAAAAAAAAGAAAGAAAGACAGAAGGAAAGAAAACAAAAGAAAAGGAAAGAAAGAAAAGAAAGAAAGGCCTGTTGCTTAAGCTATTCAGTTTATGGTACTTTCTTATGGCAGCCCTAGAAAACTAATAATTGGGTTATATAAAAAATATTATTAAAACTAATTTTACCTGTTCCTTTTGTTGCAGAAAGACCAATATCAAACCAAATGGAAGATTCTGCACTGAAGAGTTAGAAGACAACTTGTATTACACTAGCAGGCTAGGGAACCTGGAAGCTCAAATCACCAGACCAGAGTCAGGTTTGAGTTCAGTTTAAATATGGTTTGCAAGTGGGAAGTAGATAGCAAGTTATTACATGATTGGATACATGGATTACATGAATTAAGTCATTTGTTGTCAGGCAGATTTACTTAAAAAGAATTGTTTATCATTAGACAGGAACATTCTGGGAAGGAGGGGAGGGGGTGTGAGCGGAGCAAGTAGAGTTAAATGAGTCCTTGACTGGGCCTGTCCTTCGGAGACATGAAGCAAGTTGGAAATAATATATGTTTTTCAAACTAAGGAAAACACAAGCTAGACACAGTCAAGTTGGCCCAGCTTATTATCAAAGAGAAGTAGATAGTCAAGGCTGCCTGAAATACAGCCAGCTATGTGACAGGTAGGATGAGCATAGTCACAGGCTATGAATTGATTTCTAACTTTTGCTATAATATGCCTACAAGTCTGCTATTCTATAAATGTGCCCTTCTGCTTTTGCTGTTTTTAAATGTGGTTACTAGAAAATTTTAATTATTTTTCTTTTGGACAGTACTGGTGTACCTGGCAATATTTATCCTGTCAGGCTCACCAAAGAGCTATTTCTTCCTCTCCAAGCTCTTCATGTGGTAATGTCTGTCTATTCCAAAGCCTATGGCAAAAGATGAAAGTCAATCTATAATCAACAAAACAGCAACTGGATTTTAAACTTATGCCCTCTCCCCAAGCACTGAGGATTCATCCTCATACCTTCTAGGCAAGCACTCTGAATGCTATATCCCCAGCCATTTTTTAATATATTATTTTGAGACACTCTTACTAGGTTGACCTCGTTGGCTTTAAACTTGGGATTCACCTGCCTCAGCCTTCCCAGTAGCTGGGATTACAGGTGTAATTGTTTAAAATTATTTTTCTTCTTCCAGTTTAAAATTGTTTTTGTTCTTCTTCTGGTGAGGAACAAACCCAGGGCCTAGAAGAGGCTAAGAAAATGCTTTACCACTTAACTACATTCATAACCTCACACTCTTCTAGATCATCCAATCTATTTGGATGAGGTCTCTGATTTTCACATTTGATACTCTCCTCTGAACATGAATCTTTGTTCTCTTCGTTTGTTTGTTTGATAGAGGGAATTGAACTCAGGACCTCGAGATTTCCAGGCAGGAACTGTGCCACTGAGCTATACCACTTGGTTTTCTTTTTAAATCCATAAATCCAGTCATAGATTCTTTTTATGTTGCAGGGGCTGTTTTCAACTTCCTGGGTTCAGATGATTCTCCCGCCTCAGCCTCCCAAATGCTGAGGCTATAGACACAGGGTATTATACTTTGCTGCCATAGATTTTTTTATTTCCTGGTATAGAGTATTGAATCCAGGACCTTCACACTGAACGACATCCCCCTTATTTTTTTAACTTCAGGTGTCACGAAGTCACTCAAACCCCAAAGATGGAATTGAACTTGCATTCCTCATGCCTCAGCGTGCTGTACACTGAGAGGTGGGTGGCATTTGACTTCGTGTCTTTGATTCTTCCTATGTTACAATTTAACTTAAAATCTCATTTAACATCTACGACTTCTGCGCTAAACAGGGAAGAGCTGGGTTGAACACGATGGGCTAAAAAGGACTGGAGAGGGCTGCAACAGGAGAGTGGGGTAGGGTTGTGCTATACTGTGCTTTGCTCGGGAGGACTTTCCCCGCCGAACATGGCCTGGCCTTGAGTTCCCTGTGGCACACTATCCCCGGGGCTCTGGACAGCTGGCCACCCGGGAGAAAATGTGTGAGGGGCCCAGCAGGTGAGCTCACGAAAAACCGCTCCGAGAAGCCGAGCTGGGGAGCATAGTGTACTGAGCAGGGCAAGGAGAGAATAGCGTGGGCAGTCAGGGCAGAGGGGCGGGTGTGAGGGGCAGGAGGACGGCACGAAAGGTGGGGAGTCGCGGGCAAAAGTGTGCTGTGGGAGCAGTGTCGTCCCCAACCCCACGCCAGGAAAGGGACAGAGGTGTGGGTGTGCGAAATCCCGAAGCGTCCGTCGGTAGCTGGGTCCCGGGTGAAGGGTGAGGTCAGAGGAGCGCGTGAACCACCTGTCCCGGGAAAGGGCCTGTGCCAAGGACGGCGGGCAGAGGGCGGCGTTGGCGCAGCGGTGGAGGGCGGGCGCGAGGAGCGAGGGTGCGGGCCCGTTGGAGAGGCGTGCGTGAAGGGTCCC